GAGTAGAATGAGCCTGCTAGTCTTAAATAATAAAAGCTAATGACATAAAAAGGAACTACCAGAATGGGACGAGGGGTTACATCCTCTTTAAAACACAGCAGTTGTGATGCCGAGGCTCCTCACCGGGGTATTATCACAGTACTTTCTGTGATCACGCACACCATGATCCCCTGCTCTTCCATATTTACCTCTGACTTGTCGGTTTAGCCTTCTATCTTGTAAACTTCTGCTAATCCTATCCAAGTCCTGACCAGCAAGGTAAACATAGGAACATGCTCCTCAAAACCAACCAACCAACCAAATCTCTCTATTTCAACACCAAAAATCACTAAAGACAATAATCAATCAGCCTTGCTTTCTTTAAAAGGCTTATTGTTTTATACGTATTCTTTCCATTAAAGGTGCCTACAAGTCTCTCAGCACAGGTCTAGAGGGAGCAATGCAGCTTGAAGACAGACATCCCTCAGCTACTTCCAGGCGAGCAAGCTTATCTGAGCAGTACAGCGCCATACATGTGAAAGCAGATAGGTTGGCTCTGCACTTGGCCTAGCTGATTCTGGCTCTTATTAAGCACTAGATCAGGAAATGCTGAACCATACACTGTTTTGTAACAAAGCCATAACCACATAACACCCCTCTGATCAGCATTACCAACCTCACACAATTTGAGATGTGACAAGGTGACAAGGTATTACAGAATGGGAATAAATGACCAAAAATCACAATTTATTCAATGAACACTACAGAAACACAACAGTAGCAACCGCTGTTGATACTGCCCAAGGTAAAGGTGACGAAAAGCAAGTGTGAGCTTGGACTCGCCAGCTCCCACCTCTCGCCAAGCCAGGGAGCCCTCCAACCCATGGGATTCTAGCCTTCCCGGCAGCCCAGCATCAGAATGGCAGGGATGGAGAAGCCACAGAATCCCTTCTCTACACAGCTCCTTATGGGAAGTAGTAGGGCACTCACGTATCCTCAATGCCAAATACCATCGGTACGTACAAATTTAAAAACTAATTGTTTATTTGGGAACTGACAGCTTAAGTGCGTACTCCTGCCTCCATCAGACTCTGAACTCGTCGTGCTTCAAAACTCATTCTTCTGCCCATTGCGCTCATTTCTGTATTTCATGTATTTTTAACCTTTGTTTCCCTTCCCCCTCCCCTTCCATCTCCTTTTCCATTTCTGTCCTCCCTCCATCTTTTTCCTACTTAATCTATCTCCCTTTGTGACCAGCTTTTGAAAAGGGGGGAGAAGAAAAGTAGTAATAAGTTACTGCATTCCACATGCCCATTACAAGTCAGTAAGGGTTGAGGCCTTTCTCCCTAAATGGGTTGTTACTTGCTTTCATAAATTCTGGAACCCTCATTTTGATTAAAACCTCAGAAGCATTCAGCACGCTCCCAAAAAACTCAGTAAAAAGTTATGAGAAAGTGGATTTTGAATTTTGGAATGCAAACACGAAGACTTAACTCCTCTTATCAAAACAATGCTTAATCTTTCAAGAAGGTACACATGCTTATTAAACACATCCAGAGTAAGGACTGTGCCTCCAGATAAACTTTTGCTCTAATGTCAAAAGCAACCAAGAACAAATGCCAATGTATTCTACATTACTAAGACACCATAATTTGTAACATTTAATAAAATTATATAACAATATGTATATTTACATTATAAAACTGTTCACATTTATGCTCTGACCTACTTAAGCAAATTGTTTTTCCCCAATCGCACAATTATGAACCAGGGCAGAAAAATCAGACTTTATGAAGTTGTTAAATCAATTCAGTGTCATTACAAATTATTAACGTTATTACTTCAGAGTCTTCAGGCACCTGATTATGACTTTCTATGGGGCATATTTAAGTATTTCTAAGAAATATAATTTTGTTTCCCCGATACCTTTATTATTAGTCATACGTTATACTTCTTTTAATCAACTCAAACTACCTTCAGATTATACACTGAAACTATTGGACTGTTAACAAAAACTATTCACAAAAACTATTAAAGCAAAGCTGGTATTCTCTCCCTGGCTGTTCCTACCTTTCTCATACCCCAGAAGACATTAAATGATTTTATGTTTGCTTTTGTAGCAGCAGACAGAAAAACCAGGAAAATACTGCATTTGATCCAATAAATAGTTTGCATCTGGCTACATTTTAAGTGTTTTGAACTGGATAGGTCCCAGCCAAAGTCACCTCCCCACCCAATTTTCAAAGAAAGTGAGCAACTTAAAAACCACATGCTGCTCCCATATCTAAAAATGACCTCAAAACCCACGTACCCCATGTTCCACGTGTAGTCAGATTAACAAGTGTTCAAATTAACAAGCACTTAAAAGGACTGCCCCTACTTATCCTCCCCCAGCAACGCTATGCAGTCTCCTCTCCAGCAGGAGCAAGTAGTCCTGAATTAGAGATACTAACGTCAAAGAAAAACATTTTGAAGGATGCAACACAGTCACCCTAAAAAGATGTAATTGGAAGCTTTGCAAGTGAAAGTTGAAACAATTTCAGTACCACCAAAGATCTTATGTACAGTTTATGATCATCCTACTTACAAACTGGAATTGAGACAAAATATTTCCAGTGAAAGCGTTTTCCTTCAAGTAGTCATTTTTTTTGCAATTAATACTTTGAAAAGGTTCAGAAGAACCCTTTCCTAAAATTCCATGAAGTAAAATATATCCAAAACCAAATGGTTTAAGAACACCACATGCAAAATGTTTTAGGAAGCTGCATAAGGTCCCCAGAACTTCTACCCTGTAAAAAATAGTGAAGACAATGCTAAAGAGATCAGATAAGAACAGCTCCAGCTCCTAGATTCTTTCTTTCCTTGGAAGTCACTAGCAAGAATGCAGCAAACATTAGTTTTGAGGCACGAGTATAATGTTTCCCCTTCTATCACTAGCAGGACGATTCAGGCATAAAATTAGTTTTGAAAGTTGATTCAGAAAAAGCATTCTCTAGGCACTAAAAGTCTGGAAGTTTAGCACCACAGCACCATTTCCATTCTTCCAAGAGAGCAAGAAATTCCATGCATATTAACTACAAACCAAGAGTCAGAGAATATTGTTCTGCATAGATTTCAGACAGCAGCTTAACACACAACTTCTACCTTTAGCGTCCACGCATACTACCTTAAAAGAAAGTCTGCTATCATTGCCAACGAAGATACTGAATTTTTCCTTCCAATTACTTGACAGTTTTACCCAAACTGCCAGTGACCATTAGCAATGGGGATGCTGGGTTTTCATAATTCTTTTTTTTTTGTTCTGCTAAAATATGACCTGAAGCAGTTAGTCAAGACATCAGTGAAAACCAGGAGTTGTAGTTATTAAAAGGTCACACAAAATTTTATTAGAGCTATAACTGGGATTCTCCTGCTACAGATGAATCATAACTTATGTTTTAATGAATTTCAGCTAACTGTGACACATGTTGTTCTTTCAAAATATTAGATGAATGAGTAGAAGCAGGCAGAAATGTATGCAATTTGTTCTGGAAAATAACTTTGTTAATTAAATTTACACACTTTATACATACAAGACACCAGACATACAGTCATAAAGGCATCCATTTGGACCATTAAAATGCTTTTTTTAGTTGCCAAATGCACGATGCATGCTGAGACATAAGCACCTAGGGGCACAACAGAAACAGCTGAACAAAAAATTTATGCCAATAACTGAGAATTTGCCAAGCCTGTGAGAAATTAACACACAGGAGTTTTCTGCTTAAGTGGAACTTAGTTCAGAGGAACGAGAAATATTTAAAGAAACCTAAGAAAAAACTGGAACTACACAGGATTTTTTAATAGCAGTAATATGTTACAAAACTTATATGTCAAGATGTCAGCTAACAGGAGAGACTGCAATTCAACCAAACATTCAAAACCATTCCTTTAAAAGTCATTGATCCTTCTTCATGTTAAACTACATATTCTAAAGGTCCACTGCAAAACACTAGCTTGCAAGAGACTTGAAACGCTAGGAATTATACAATAACAAGATACATTAGAGTATACTTGAATATTTTTAAAATGCATCACTTTAAAAATTTAATAAACATTCAATTATTTTGGTACTCGTTTTTAAGAAGCTCACGATAATGTTGCAAGACAAGCTAAGAAACAAGCCTCAGCAGAATCTGAATTTGCCCTCTAATTCAGACTTCACTAACTCTACAGCTGGAATAAATTAATCTTTTGGATCACACGAATTACTATTAAATCAATGCACTCTAGATTGCACTATTTGTATAGAACTTAGCCATGTAATTTAACCAATGACATAACGGTTCAAAGGCAGACTAAATACAGTGCTGGAATTAGAGCCAAAAGGATTTATATTTTTGTCACAGAAAAGACATACCAAAGAGCGCTTTTAAGACTGACAAAGATGATTCAAAATCAGGGAGTTCTCAGTGGTTTTGAAAGTAATGTCTGCTATGGAGACTGGATGTTTTTAAGATAGACAGACATCTGTCAGTCAGCGTAGGCATAAAACACAGAGATATCACGCCTTCAGATGAACTAGATGATCTCCCAATCTTTCCACCCCTTAAATCACAAATGACTGCATAGATGGTTGAGTAACAGCGAAGTTCAGAGCTGTTGCTTAAAAACAGCCTCACGCATCCTTCCCATCCCCAGACAGACAGCCTCCTTTCTTGTTCGGGAACAAACATGTGTGATTGGGGAACCGATCTGGTTAAAAATATATCTCTCTCCTTTTTGCCAGTTTAACTTAGACCAAGCTTGTTTCTCTGCTGTGTTTCACTGTGCAGGAGCACATGCAGAGACATCAGCTCAAAAAGAGAGGAAGAGGCAAAAGGGGCAGTGAAAAAGGGGCAAGGATGATGACTGCTTACATTTGCACCCCACAAGAAGAAATGCATGCAGTACAGCCTAAACACAAAGCAACAGCAGTAAAATTTTTGAAGACAGATAATTATTATTAGACCAGCCTATATTGCTGGAAAAAGCAGAGGAGCTTTCAGACACATTGCTGCTTTAGCAGATTAGGCAAAGCACAAGACAGAACAAAACTGCTCATAATGTAAATATAACCACGCTAACCTTGAACAAGAAAAGCACTTAGCATTTAGGCAACAGAGAAGCGCATTAGCGACAGGCCAGATGACCAGTCACTGGTCCCTTTGAAGAGGGATAAACTGCAGTTAGTGATAGAATGATGCAGTAATACATAGTATCTAATTGAGGCCCCAATTTTTAGTACACAGCAGACATGCCTTAGTTACTCTCAGACATCAAGATAACAGACAAAGCGTCATTTTCTGAGCAAGTATACTGGTTACTACATGCTGCCACTAGCCATACAATTAGAAAACCGATAAACACAAAGATGCTAGCTCTAGTATAGGAAATTACTGGAAGATACGGCAGCATCTTTACAGACTTCCCCGATTGTTACATTCTTCCAGCGGTATCTGCCATTGGCCAGCCCTGGGAGCCAACATACAGGGCTAAGTGGATCTTCATTTGGGACATCAGTTCTTTCACTGTCTCTTACCAAACACAAGTTCACACAGATACAGAGACGCTGTCTACAATACAGTAATTTTGCTTCCAAAAAATGCACTTTCTGTATTTGAAGACTGACAAGTTTAGGGTTATGCTTTCATTACAAGGGAACAAATCTAAATAGTTTAAAAAACCAACCAACCAAACCACAAAACACTGCCTCGTATGAACCTCACTGCAGTTTTATAATCAATAACTAGCAATGCCACTGAAAAAGGCGCTCTCACATGTTGCCTACTTGTTTTCTGTACCACGCTTCATCATGTCTTTTGCCATCTCAAGCATTCATGTGGTCATAAGTTGGGTCAGAGCTAATCTCTTAGAAACAACCCACCCTCCAGTTGATACTACTGCATCCTGTTGAACTAGGGATCCTCTTTGTAGCAGACAGACTTAAAGACTAGGAAGAAGCAGGCGGGGGTATTGAACGACTTCACTAGAC